ATGAACCGAACAAAACACACGCGAATTGAACCGAGACGGTCGAACCGAACGGTTCGGGCAGTTTTCAAAAACTGTTCCATCCCCAATAGAAACTCTCTGCTTCTGTTCAAAGTTTCTGTAACTCATTGGTTAATTTTATATGGCTCAGTTGTTTTCACGCCTTTTGTTGTTGTTCCATGTTTTAGTAATGTTACCAGACCAAACATTTTCTAACGTTCTACAGTATAAAATAAGTAATAAAAGTTGGTATTTTTGTGCCAATATTGTATTCGGTCAACATTGGTATCGGCCAATTCTCAAAGCTGCAGTATTGGAAATTAAAACATTGTATCGGGAAACCCCTAGTTTCTAATGTTATAAAGCAATGGTAGCTTGATAGTTGATGCTGTGGAGACGATTGGTCTTTTCCAATCTATCTTTAAACTCAGCGACCTAAATATTTTTAAAACTTGATTGAACTTAACTCTGACCATATTCAGCTGGAGGTGGATGTGTTGTCAAAAAAAGGTGCTTGCTGTTTGTATTAATGGAAGCCCCGATCCATTAGGTTCTCTAAATAATGTCCATGTTTATTACGTTTTATTTAAACGGCCATATGGCTCGTTTTAGACTAAGACAACTTTTATTGTCATTTTGTATACACAGATTATATACAAAAGTAAATTTCGTTTTGCACAGCTTTCTGAAAGTAAATGAGCAGCAGCTTAGCAGTGAAATGTATATTTCCATTTCGTGCAGTGCTGCAGTGACCAAATGTAAACAACGTGGGCGAAAAAACATGGTTTAAAGCGCATTGATATGGAAATTCAGAGCAGTTCAAAGACAAATATAAATGGTGCAAAAATGTAGTAGAAAAACAGTTTTTGAGTTGAGTTCTTTTTGCTCTTGTGTTATCAGTGTGATGCAGGCTTGTTGTTTTAATGACTGAAATAAGTGACGGACAGAACCCTAAAAACGGTTATCAAGAGTTGAGGGTTATTGAGGACTTATTTCTTGTTGTAAGGGCTGTCTTCTGTCTCTCTAGGATTTGTCGAGTGTGTGTAGCAGCCCCACTTCCAGTCCTAAACCTAAAACCTCTGGTCTATCTCCGGCACAGAAGTCCAGTCTGATCACGGCTACACAGCTCCTTAAGACACACATGCAGCGCTCTGGAACAGTCCTCACTCACAAGCAGGCTCAAGGTTGGTTTATAATCCCTCTTATTTTATTTTTTTTTATTTTTGTAGATCCGTTAAATGGCACTTTAAGCTTTCACCGTTACTTAAACACGCCCAGGGGTTCCTGCTATCCTGGCATAAACACCTCCCGTTTTTGTTTAAATTATTTGAGGGAATTATTCACCTCACCTTTAGCTGAACTTTGCACAGGAAGACATGGTGGTATGTGAGATGTGAAAACGATTGTAATTTGTTCTATCGTGTCACCACATCTGAGGGGGGGAGATGGAACGTGACTGAAATGCTTTCCTCTCCTCCTCTTGTCTCCTCTTCTTCTATGACTTTCCTTTCTGGCTTTTTTCCAATTCATTCCAGCTCAGTTTGCCGCTTTTATGAAACAAAACATGCTTGTGAGGAAAAATCTTCCTCCTGGCACTCCTTGTATTTTTGGTAAGTATCTCTCCCTCTTCCTCTCCTCTTCTTTTTTCTTCTGTTCTTTTCTCTTTCTTTTTCACCTTATTTTTTTCACGTGAATTCATATAAAGTACCTGTCTAGAAATAAGATTTTGATCCAGAAAGGTCACATCATGAAGATAAAGAAACTTTCTTAAAATGGACAAATTTTTGCTAACAATAAAAACAACGCTAACATGTCGCCTCGCTGCTTCTGATTATTCATTCGTACTTCTTTGTCCATGTGGTGCAGTTCCAGTGACCAGTGATCAGATAGAAGGCCTGGACAGAGATGACCTACGACCTCACGGCAAGAGGAGGCAGACACCCAGCCCCACACCCAGCAAAGCCTCTAAGAGAGCAAAGATTAAAGTCACCATCGTTTCCCAAAGCGAGTCAGCAGGAGGCGCCATCAACCCTGCTGAAGGTATAAAACCTACTGAACTTGTGTGTTTCATCATGATGGTTAAACTTGTATTTATTATTTTATTTTTACTGCACCACAACCTTAAAGAAGATAATTAGGATAAATCAGTGGTTCTTAAACCCGCTGTTACCCTTTTGAACTAGGTTCAAAGTGATCATAAGACAGGTTTGAGGGCAAATCTGTAGTTAGAGTTTAAATCTGTGATCCTTGCTTGTCATGTGACATACAGCGAAGGTCCACAGGTCGAGATCATTGATATTTATCACTGGATATGACATCATATGACTGCAGCATGATGAGTAACAATGCTAAGAAGCGGTAACGGAATACTCAAGAAAGACCCATAAACTGTTATACGTGAAATGACTTATTACTCTAATGGTTTGGCTTGATTGTAATACTTAAACAATAATCTAGATAAAATAAGATTTATACAAATAATTAAAAATAAATTATGTACACAGACCTGAAATTAAAAGAACTACAGTGTTAGAAATATTTAAAATCATTTTGACTGCTTAAATAAAGGTAAAATAAAATTATACTAGGACTATAGTATTCATGTAAAATATTGTATTGGGGACTTAATGAAGGCATTTACAGCATTTGACTTCCTGGACATTCTAGGCTAGTATAGATGGATAGGCTAGGCTAACATTTGAACCTTCCCTTTTTGCATTTCTCCGCTTTTGGACCGCCAAGATATTGATAAATTAAAGTGGGGGGAAAAAAACTACAAGGAGTTACGTATTGGAACAAAAACAGAGTAAAATTTTACAGTTTTGATAAAAGTTAACGATGAAAATGAGCAAGATTTAATGTAACCTCCACATCTGTTGCTTGTCACTGACAAATGTCATTTAAGTTGATGTGAATTTAATGTGAATTCAAAGCCTAGTTTTATTAATTATTACAGTGTAGTAGCAGGTAGTGTAGCTCCTAATTGAGAAATCTGCAGTGAGTAGGACCAAAAAATTCCCTATTAGAATTTGAATTTTGTTCTGATTATTATCGCCATTAAAAACACAGTTTTCCAGATAATAATGTTGCTCTGGGGGCCTATTATCTCTACTATGTGCAGGATTTTTACTATTAAATACAACAAGATATTAGCTATAATTCACTGATGCATCAGTAGATCCTTTTTCTGGCATCCATAGATAGGGTGGTTCTTGCAGAAAGGGTAAAACATCCATTTATTTCTTTAGCTCATTGTGAGCAGATCAACAAAATTGTTTTTGGGATTTCTTTAATGATAAAACCACCAGATGGAAGAGAGGAGCTCAGCTACTGCCTTACAGACAAAATGATGAGATCTGAAGCTCCTTTGTTTGTTTTTGTTCTGTTTTTGCTGCTATTGTTTGGTCTGAAATATTACAGGAGTGTTGATAAGAGCTTTGAAAACATTGTGATTGTACAATTCATAAAAACGGATAGTGTGGTAACTAAGAGGCATCTACCTCTTCACTAAATCTGTGTTGTTTTCTCCCTACATCTGAATACCTGCCTGTGTTGACGTTGAGCTCTTATTCATTTCCTTCTCAGTGGGCGTTTCTGGCAAGCCTTTAACTGTGGCAGTGGGACAGACTGTTCCTGGTGCCAAGGAGCTTTCTGGACTTCTCACAAGTCCGCGGTAAGCGTGCCCAGTCTCCCAGGAACAATGTAGAGTTCCTAAAACCCTAGGCATACCTACACCCACGTTAACGCCTCCCCTGTTGGAAAACAGTGTGTCTGGTGCAGAGGGATTGATGAGAGGTGGTACTCAGAATTTAAAAGCTGAACAATGGCCAGTTAGCCCTTTCTGGTGAAGCTCCTGAGTAGACTGCTGGTGTGTGTGTCACTGCAGGTCTGGTAGTCTCTCAGAGGTGTCTGGTGCCCTGTCCCCAGGCTCCAGTTCATTCAGCAGCGGGCAGCCTTGCATGGTGTCAGTGTCCTCCACACCAGCCCAGGTGCAAGCTCCAGCTACTGCCCAAGGTATCTCCTTCTTGTCCTGCTTTTTGCACGCTCGTTTGCACTCAGCTGTGCAAATAAACTCAGCACAGCTAGCTTCTACACACAGATCCTAATCTGTTGGTCTGTGTCAGATTCAAGTTCTGAACACTGGATGAGAACAGTATGTGAGGGCAACATACTTAAACAAACATCATCATTGATCACCTCTTGCGCCATTGCTGCTCGTCCCTGATCCAAACCTTTCCCCTTTTGGTCACGACTGTCCCAGTTCGTGCTTGTGTGCGTGTCCATATATTTAACATTTTAGTTCATAAAAGTATTAATTTGCTTCCAATATCTGCTTAGGAAACTTTTAATTTAACTTTTTTCTTTGCTTTGTTTCTTTTTGTTTTATCTGCAGCACCTTCCGCCAGCAGTCTTCTGCAAGGCCTAAGTTTCAGTCTGCAGGAGATCGTTACCAAAGCTCCTAACCTTCCTTCTCCAGCGACAAGCACAGGCAGCACTCAGGTACTCTGGGAAATGAGGGTCATGTTGTGTGAGGATTTAAAATACAATAATAACAATCATAATTGTGTTGGAATAAAAACATTTTGGTTTTGGTGGATATTTCTCTAATCCTCTTAGGATGAGAATAACTCATTTATGGTTGGATAAAAAAAAAAAAAAAGAACTGCACCAAAATTTGCAGACACCATACAATCTGTTTACACGCTACAGAAGCATGGAGGTGAAAGTTGGCAACAAACGTTCTCATGCAAAGACGCTGTTATGGCGTGTTTATGAGAGCAGACAAGTTTTATATGTGCTAGTCTTGGTTAACGTATTAGCATTTTAGCTCTGTGTGAGTTTTAGCCATTATTCAAATAAAGATAATTTTGTTAGGAAAATAACATTATTATTATATTGTGTCCTACACTTCATGCTGACATGCAGACTGTACTGGGGCTCATAAATTTAGAAGTTAATGTTTTAATTAAACAAAATTTAAAAAGGCTCCAACTTGCGTATTTAGTTGTTGTCCCGTTTGGATGTTTAAAAGCTGCAGCATTGCTACTTAAATTTAGTCCCCTGGAGGAGGGAACCTCTCAGTTGCTTGTAAATATATTTCTGAGGTGTTTTTGTGAATGAGTTGGGTACCAAACACCTCCCATTAGCCAATATGTTTTCTTTTTAATCTGTATGCAGCCACTTGTTTTCATTTTGAAATGCTCATCTGTAGTGTCTGAATCTAATTAGCAAAATACATTAAATGTATACATATTGATTTCACAGTTAGAGGGGAACAGTGAGGCTTTGAGCCACTTCACCAGCTATGTAAAAGCTGTTGGATGCAGCATCTGTGGTGTTAAAGTTAGTCAGGGATCCAGCACTAGCAAGGCAACAAAAAAAAAACACAGATCTGAGGCAATATCTAAATCAGCACCACAAAACTTGGTTGTATTTCTAGTCTTATGTTGACACTGCTCAAATGAAAGTTGTTAATTTTAATTCTATAGTTCTATTTTCTGTTTCTTTTTTTGAAACATATTTTTGTTTTTTAATACAATTTGAGTTAGACTATAGTTAGAGAGTGCATATCTCCCTGTATGTCCATGTTCAATCTTTTTTTTTTATATTCTCTCTCTGGATGGATGGATGAATGGATGGATAGATGGATAGATGGATAGATAGATAGATAGATAGATAGATAGAT